TCCCCTGCCTGCCTGCGTGCCCCACCCCCACCCCAGCCCAGGCTCTCCGTGCTGCCCCTGGGCCCCAGAGTGCAGGCACTGTGGTCATCATTGCCATCCTGTCGGTCCTGCTGGCCGTCCTCCTGGTTTCCCTCCTGTCTGTGCTCATCTACACCTGGTAAGTGGACAGGGTGGAGACTGCCCCGCCCCTGGGAAGGGTGGGGTCCCAGTCTTCCTCCCCAGCGCCTTCAGCTGCAGCCCTGGGCCCAGGCCTTCTGGCCCAGTTTCCCCTTGCTGCCCCTGCTGGAGTGGTTTTCCACAAAGCCCAAACAGGGGCAACCACATGTTGAGGAATCCCCAAGGTTCCAGAACTGCTGGGCTCTGACCCAGTCACCCATCTTCCTGCTGGGAAGCCAGCAAGCTGGGTTGGGGGCGCAGCGCTCAGCCCCTCCTTCAGTAGCTCCAGGTGCTCGCCCCCTGGTGGCTATATCTGGAATTGCAAGTAGGGAGGGCCACAGCACCCCGGGTGGAGCGAATTGCCTTCTGGCCATGCTCTCAGCCTCGTCTCTAAACTTCTCACGGAACTCAGGCCCTGGGACCTGGTACAGAGTGTCCACAAGAATTCCTAGAGGGAATGGGAACCCTGATGGGGCTTGGGGATGTGGGAGAGAGGGACTGGCAAGGAATTGGCAGGAAGGTGGCAAGGAATTGGCAGGAAGGTGGGTGGTGTGGCCACTTCTGGGGCAGGCTGGTGGCGGGCAGCCAGGCCAGCAGAGGAACTGGGCTGTAGCCTGCAGGCCCCTGGGAGCCAGTGGTGGACTTTGACCAGAGCTTACAGACTGACAGTGTCTGAGAGGGATCCTGGGGTGCAAGGAGTGCAGGGGGGGAGCGTGGGAGCTGGGCGATGACAAGGACAGGGAGGGAGGCCCTGGCTTTGTGAGGTTCAGGGGACTAGCTGGCCTCGGCTGACTTCCTGGCCAGCGGAGCCTCCTTCAGGCCTGCTGCTCACCATCGCTCCTTCTTCCCCCACCCGAGCTTCGACAGCTGCAGGAGCACCTCCATCTCGGGCCCGGGGGAGCCAGCGAGTGTGAGGACGTACACCACCCACCACACGATCAGCCCTCCAGCAGAGGGGCGCTCCTGAGGGGCTCCAGGGGCCCTGTCTGCCCTGGCTCGCCTTCCTGGCCTGGGCTGCAGAGTCTGGGCTGGACCATCCTGAAGCTTTGGGAGTCCTGAGAGAGACGGCTGCTATATGAGGGTGTGTGGGACGGTCCCCGTCAGAAATAAATGTCCCCTGGAGCTGGCAGGTGGTTAAGGCGCTGGACTCCCACATGGCTGACTGCGGCTTGAATCTTGGACCTGGTGGCTTGCTTTCTCACTGTCCCTCTCTGTCTCTAGTGAGCACATGTGCCCTATAGCAAATTAAAAAATAATAATAAGTAAAATTAAATTAAAATTCTTAAAAAAAAAAAAAAAAGGAAGGAAGAAATGTCCCCTACACCTCCTGCCTGTCTGACCATAGCCAGGGCATGCCGCCTGCACCCCTGACCTGGCTCCCCCGGGAGGTTCTCGCAGAATTTAGGTCATGGGGTGAGACCCAGGGTCCTAGCCCAGCCTCTCTTCAAGCCTTGACTTTCCTCTCTGGCAAACGAGAATGGTAACGCCGTTCCCTGGGTCACAGGGAGGCAAGGCCCTATCAGCTATGAGGACCGGACCCCTGAGCGGTGCTCGCCTAGTCCCGCCCAGGGCCTCCTTGTCCCCAGGCCACAGGGCTGCAAGTCGGGCCTTGCTGTCCGTCCACCTGCTCTAGTTCATTCTGCTGCTAACACAGGTACCTAAAACTGGGCGACCTAAGAGAGTGGGGGTTATTCCGCTCACTGGAGCCCCAAGTCCAGGGGCTGCCTCTGGGGGGACCGCAGAGCAGCTCAGTTTGTGTCCCTGTGTCCCTCTCCTTATGAACCCAGCAGGAGTCAATCATGGGACCCTGCCCTGGTGACCTTAATCTGAATCTCCCCGAGTCCCAACTTTCTGTAGCATACTTGGATTCTTTTCATTCTGTTGCAGGGGCTCGGCACACGAGCTGGGGGGACACAGTGAAGCCACAGCACCACCGGAGCACCCTCCCGGGCCCCTCTCCCCAGTTGGCCGCCTCCTGGCTGGAGAGCCCCAGAGCTGCTGGCCTCCCTTTCCTCGTCTCCTCCCCGGAGTACGGGGTGCGCAAGGGGCTCAGCTTCTCAATCTCCCTCCCACCCCTCCCTCGCTTCTGGCACCCCCCCCCGTGGGCAGTAAGCGCATGAAAAGCTGCAGCTCCTAAGGGGAGCGTGGACTCAGCCAGGACGGACTTCAGCCCCAAGCCTGAGGCGGGCACCCAGCATTTGTCATCAGCTGGCACCATGCCGGGCCCTAAGGGCTGGAGGTGGCTGAGACAGGCTTCTGGCCCCCGCCACTGCCAGGGAGGGCGGTGATGCCACTACATTCAAGGGAAGGACGGAACACAGGTGTCAGAGGGACAGGCTCCTGGAGGCTTCCAAAGGTGTGGCTTTGGAGAAAGCAGGTGCATGCCACCTGGGCCAGGTGTCGTCGGGAGGGTGTGGGCAGGAGCCATGCGTGTTGCTATGGGCAGTTGGAAGCAGCTGGAGCAGAGGGAGGTGGTGAGGGACAGAAAGGAGGTGGGAGACGCCCTGTGCATGGTGTAGGGGCCTCGCCCCTGGGGCAGGAGGTGGGGAGGAGGTGCTGGCTGGGTTCCCAGGTGCTCGCCCAGGGGTGCAAATAGCCCTAATTGGTTTATTAGCCGGAGCAGACACATCCACTCCTGCTGTGGAGGAAATGCGCCAGTGACCAGGGCAGCGGGCTGGGAGAGGCAGGGAGGGACACAGACAGCTTCCCGCCCCACAGCCTCAGCCTCTCCTGGCCTTTCAGGACAGCAATGAGCCTTGGCCCTGAGGCTGGGTGACCCTGGATGGGTCACTTAACCTCTCTGGGCCTCAGTAAAAAGGGAAGGTTGAACTGAGTGCCCTCGAAGGCCCTGCACCCACAGACCTTGACCGCGTCCTATGTGGATCGGGCCTGGCAGGAAACAGATGGCACATTGACTCACAGGGCAGCCGCGCGTGTTTACAGAGGGGGCCCCAGGACCGGCGCTGATGCGGCCCCTCCTAGACCTGAGGGCTGACGAGAGGGGGGCTGGTGTTTCCAGGACCAGTGGACGGTACCTGTGGGCATGGGGCTGCCAGCAGGAACAGGGGCACTGAGATCAGGCCGTGGGGGGCACACCCAGCCTCTGCACTGCCCCCAGACCACATGCTGGTGCTGCCACTGGCCACACCCAGAAGCGAGAGGGCAGGGGTCTGAGTGGAGTGGTCTGTGGGGGGCCTCCTGGGCATGTACAGGACAGAGATGGACAAGGACAGACTGACAGCTGCTCAGGCTGCTTTGTGCCGGTCCTGCGGCATCAGACCCTCCCCACCCTCCTAGGCCTGGAGAGAAGGGCAGACAGATGGCCACTCGGCCCTGTCCCAGAGGGAGGACTGCCTGCCAGGCAGAGGGGACTCTGCAGAAGCTGACAAGGACAGGGCGGTTTTGCCAGCTGGAGGAGGTCCCCTTTACCACCTTCCTGCCTCTTTCTTGAAGACTCCACTTCCCTGAAGTCCTCCTGGGTGGAACCTACCTGAACGCTTCAGGACTGGCAGGCTGAGAGCACAGGGTTCCTCCTTGCTCCTCGGCCCCGTCTGGAGTAAATGCCCCATGCAGCCAAGCCTGCCTCCCTTCCACCTGTCCTCCTACCATTGGCACTGCCAGTTGCTCACAGGGCCAGCCCGTGAGGGGACACCAGCCCCTCTTCATCGGCACTCCCGTCTGGGCGTTCATCCCCCACAGCCTTAGCCAGCTCCCATATGTTTTGTCCCTGGTCTCCTGTCAGCTGTCCCCACATGGCCTTGGCCCCCTGCCTGCCTCTGGCCTGCTATCCCAGAAGCCCCGTGTGCCCATATGCCCCTCATGTGAACAGACTGGTGTGGCCGCCCCTCCATGGTCAGTGGGAGGGAGCTGGTGTCACTGCCCCAGCCCTGCACCTTCCCTGGGCCCCTTGGTCCTCTGGCTCTCAGGCTGGACAGACCCAGTTCGACCTCTCTCCCTGACCACGGGCTCCCACTGGCCACTTGCACCACCTTCTACGATAGCCATGGCTGGCCACAAAGGCCTGAGCCACCTCTTTGGGGCTGCCCAGTACTGAGCCAGGACTCACCCACCCCAAGGGCTGCTGGAGAGCCTAGCATGGTGTGGACGCGATTGTCCCCAACCTATTCTGAGGTGGGGCTGGCTACTCTGGGCTCTTCTGGAGCCCGGGGTCCAGGACTGGCTGAATGCTAAGGCATCCTAAAACCACTGCCAGGGGTCAGCAGGTGGCATCGTGGTTAAGGCTCTGGACTCCCATGTAACTGACTCCCATGTAGCAATTCAAGTCCTAGACCCAGTGACTTGAATCTCACACCAGGCCCATGTGCACGCATGCCCAAAATCCTGAAAGGAAGATGGAGAGGAAGGGATTGTGGCATGGCCATTCCCGCTGGGAGGTAATTTCTTGTTTTCTATCATCTCTGTCTCTCTGATAAGCACACACAACATAAAGCAAAAATCTCTCTTAAAAAAAAAAAAAAAAAGCCACTGCCCATTTTTCTTATGGGGCAGAGAGGGAGCTCCAGCTGCAGGGCCAGTTTGGGGAACCCACCCCCAGAAGAACCAGGACCCTGGGAGAATCACTGTGAAGACCTGAGTCCTGGCACCCTGCTCACCCCACCCAAGGCAAGACCTCAGCTCTCTTCCTGGAGAAGACGTCTCGTCACTCTGTCCCTCCCCATTCACCCACTCAGTCCACACTCAGGCACTGACTTCAGCCAGCCCTGGGGGCAAGGAGACACTCAGTCCTGCCCTCAAGGCCAGCCCACTGCAGGGGAGCTAGATCCGCACAGATAGAAGGGGGCCCTCAGGACAGAGGCACACTCCGCCAGCGACCCTTCCCACCTGGGGCTGCCTGGAGGGCACAGGACGTGTGGCCTTGAAGGATGGGTAAAGGGCATGAGGGGCATTCCAGGGGCCACCAGGGCTAGTGGGTGACACCGGCTCCCTCCCGCTGGCCATGGAGGGCTGACCACACTGGTCTGTTCAACACTCCAGTTCTCAGGGGGATAAGCCTGGGAAAGCAGACAGGGACAGGATTGTGAGCCATGAAATGACTCCATCATGTCACATGTCCCCTGTTGCCAGCCTGAAACATGCAGGAGCTGCTGCGTCTCTCATCTCTTTCTTTCCTCTGGTTTCCTGTCTGTCCATCTGTCTCTGTGTCTCCATCTCTTGTATTCCTCTCTCTCTTGCTTCTAATTTCTTTTTTTTTTTTCCTTTGGAGAGGTTTTCACTATAGGGTGCTTGCACTCTCCAGACAGAGAGAGACATAGAGACAGAAAGTGAGAAATCGCCCCCCAGGGGGGATGGTCATGCCGCAATCCCTTCTCCTCCATTCTCCTCTCGGGATCTTGGGCACGCACGCACATGCGCCTGGCGTGAGTTCTAAGCCACCAGGTCCGGGATGCGAACCGCGGTCGACTATGTGGGAATCCAGCGACATAGCCATTACGCTAACTGCTGGTTCCCTTGCTTCTAATTTCTTTTAAGAATTATTTAATTTTCTTTATTTTTTGAGAATTATTTAAATTATTTTATTTGTTATTATTATTATTTAATTTGACCAGAGAGAGAGAGAACAGCAAAAACAGGGGCACCGAGATGAGGCCGTGGCGGGCACACCCAGCCTTTGTGCTGCCCCCCCAGACCATGTGCTAGTGCTGCCACTGGCCACACCCAGCCAGAAGCGAGAGGGCAGGGGGTCTGAGTGGAGTGGTCTGTGGAGGGGCCTCCTGGGCATGTACAGGACGGAGAAGGAAAAGGACAGACTGACAGCGGCTCAGGCTGCTTTGTGCCGATCCTGTGGCATCAGGGAAAGTGAGAAAGTAAGCCACCAGGTCTGGAACTTGAACCATGGTCGGCTATGCCAGAGTCCAGCACCTCAACCACTGGGCCACTTGCTGCCTCCATACTATTGTTATTTTTTAATTAGACCAGACAGAGGCAGAGAGACAGAGAGACAGAGAGACAGAGAGGGGGGCAGAAGTGAGAAAGTAAGCTGCCAGGTCCAGGACTTGAACCGCAGTGGGCCAAGTAAGAGTCCAGCGCTTCGACCACCTCTCCACCTGTCAGCCCCATCTTGCCTCTAATTTTAACT